GTGCGGAAAGGCTGCGATAGAGCCGAATCGCACCAAATCGGCGATCTATGTACTGTAGACGGCGAATACTAACGGATCCTTTATAGAAAACTCCAGATGATCTCAGCAAGTAAGAGTGATTCAGGTTTCTAAAACCTGCTAGTAGCGAAAGCTTCATTTTTTCCTGTAGTTTTCGCAGCTTATAAATTATCCAACATGACTCAAACACAGTATATCACGGTGTAAGATAAGTGCTGTTTTCGTAGTTGTCTTTATTCTTTGTTAAAATTGAATGCCTTTTCAGTGCTCAAATCATCGGATTTGGAAGCGCTATTTTTTGAAACTCGTGATATTATTGTAACGTGTTTTCCTCTCTTTTTTCATTTCAAGTTATCCTTGCTGTTGACGTTGCTCTTTTGAAAATAGAATCCGTGGGCTTTTGCTGTAAAATGAAGTGTTGTGCAACAGATGCAGCGGTTTTTGCTAGCCAGTTTACACTTGGAGAAGGAGTCGTTCCTCTGATTTCAGCAAGCAATAATTTTGTCTGTTTTAGAGCTAAAATTGACAGTTGAGCGACAGTCAGTACGTGTTGAGCCTAAAGGGAAAGCTATTGCTGATGAGAAGCAGATCAAAGAGCTCGGCCTATCTGCACAAAATGCACAGTTGTACGTGCGTGATCTTGGACCACAAATTCCCTGGAAGACTGTAAGTTATTTTATCTTTCTAAGTATTATTTGACTTTTCAATAGAAGACAGCCCTATTTCTCAGTATTCTGGATTGTGTAGTAAAATCGCCATAGTTGGCTCTTGTCCTACATGCCAACCGAATTAGTTAACCAAGCTGATTAGATAAGGAAGAACGCGGGCGCATTGATTAGTAAGAACAATTACTAGAAATGAGTGTTTGAGGAAGTGGTTTGAAAACATTTGGGAGCGTGAGTCCTATTATGTGATTTGAGATTGTGCCAATATAAGTTTTGCTACTTACCATCGCGAAGTTGTCAAGTTCACCAAAAGTAAAAAATGATGTTTTTCAGTATCGTACGATTATTTTGTGTTCATAGTTGATTCCGATCTCATTTCGGAAGATGGTTGTTTACCGTGTGCACGTACTCGTTCCAATCATCTTGTTTTCAGGTATTTCTACTGGAGTACTTGGGTCCTCTCCTAATCTATCCTCTCTTCTATATTCGCCCTGCATTTATCTACGGTGAAGGTTACGACTGTTGATTTTTAATGCGGCATTTTGATGTCTTGCTTTTGAAACTTTCAACATAGATTGGCTTTTCATGCATGAAATGTCATACTCAGAAGTTCTAAAAGGCTTATTACATTAAGGTGTTTGTTATAGTTTTGTTATATCTGTTTTTTTTTAGGAGCAGCTGATCGACCATATCATCTTGCTGTGACCTACGCGTTTATTTGCTGGTCCTTTCACTATGCAAAACGTTTGTTTGAAACCCAGTTCATTCACCGATTCAGCAATGGAACTATGCCCAGATTCAACCTTGTCAAGGTAGAGATTCTTTCTTGAAATCAAGCGTGTACAGAATTGAAGCTTTTCTCATACCTGAACTTTCTAGAATTGCTCTTACTACTGGGGCTTCGCTGCATTCGTTGCTTACTTTGTCAACCACCC